CCCCCCCCCCCGTGTACACTATATGACATCCAGTAGATTTCTACCGGGGACCAATCATAGGGCTGCTGACGCGTCACCGACTAGCGGCTATTAGCACCTCGTTTCATGTAAATGCCATGAACTCAACCAGAGCGCGTATATTGTTTCTTGTTTACATCAGTATTAAGTACTTCCACAATCAGTTAGTAAAGTCATACCTTAGTAAAATCTACTTTGATGAACGAATCAAAACGGGACTGTAGACATTAAGTTTTACACATTCAAATGTGGCTGCACTAGCGCTAATGGAGCGACCACTACGTACGGGAAGGAACGTATCTTAGCGAAGCCGAGATTTGTGAACCAAACCAAACCCATCGAAGACGGGCCGCCAAACACAAAAATAGAGGGAAATGACAGACAACAAGCCAACAAAGACAACATCACTAGACCAACAAACTTGGAAAACACCACTTCAAGCGCTAACGTTGTAAGAACTGTGGAACCTCAAACTAGTATGTTTGCGTCAGCGGAAAGGCTGTCGAAGTAACCACTACACGAAAAACTGCGGCGAAAAAGTAACATGGGTTCGTCCCAAATCTAGACGCAAGTGAGCTGCAAAAGTAATAGAACCTTTGCATCTTGCTTGTTGCTGTCAACTTACCCGTTAAAGATTGAACCGATACATGTACGTACTATAACTTGCCACACCCGGCCAAAGACGACTACATTACTGTTACTCTTTATTTTGTGCTGTATAATGTATATGCGTTACATTATCTATCATTGTCATTTCTGTGAATTCCTTAAAACATCTACTGTTAGTTTGTGTAACATTACGTAGTGCTACAATCTGCGTAAAAAGTGGGCTTCATTACGTGTTATCTGCTAAGTCGTGTTGGTATTGAAAACTGTTTTATTGTGCCGTTCTTCTACAAACAGCCAGCAGAATTATGAAGATACTCGTTCTCAATACACATGCTGCAAACTAAAGTAATGGCAGTCCTACGAAAATTCTGTTTGTAATGTATAAGTGCTTTATGTCGACGTACAATGGGTGTGAAATACATGTTTTCGCCCATTGTGTGCCACCGGCTTGGTGGTAATTGGCTACTTCACAAGTGAAAGAACCGCGTCCGTGGGCCTTGATAAATTATTCAAATTATTCAGCAGCCCTCTGATTGGTCTCCGCTAGAAATTTACTGGATGTCATTCAGTGACGAGCCCCCCCCCCCCCCCCATTTTTGCTCTATAGACATCAATAATTGCACCCTCACTCCATGTCTCAAGAAATAGACTGCAGTCTTTCATGGCAACCTGTTTAATAGATTTTTGTAGCGTGGAACATTTTTCCAGGCTGTGTTTCAGAGATAAGGCCTGGAGTAAGTTCTTCTGACCCTGATATGATATCCTATTGCCAGCAGACTGTGGGGATATGGACACTTGGATAATGTGCTTAGAGGACTGCTTCAAGCAAAAGTGTTGCTGAGTCAGACATTACTCATTCTTCAAGCATATGTAATTATTACCCAACCATTCCTCATGATTACTGTGATGTGCAGATTTATTTTGCCGCAATAACTATGATGGAAAAGGACATAAAACTTTACACAAGGCAATGGGTGTCAGGTCCCTTTATATTTGGATGTTGCGGTAAGTGTGAGTCTCATTACCCTGAGTTGCAGTGCCACCCGGGTCTATAAACTAACATTAACAAGGATATAGAGTACAGTCACATGTACCTAACGTTACAAGTAGAACAGTTGAAAAGCATGGCTGCAACAGACACAGGTGTTCTGACCTTTAACCTCATTCAAACAATTTTTAGAGGTAAAAAACAGTCCTCTGTGACAGCTCTAGAACAATATTCACCCCATCATGATTAAACCATGTACAAATGCACTATTTCCCCTGCAAGTTTTTCCTACCTCCATGACAAAGGGCACATCTTGTCTGGACCCCTTCTTGCTGACACTTGTGCCTGCAGTAGACCAGACTGTGGTGTATCTCACACTGTGGGGGTCTCGAGCCTGCTCCTTCAGCTGGAGGGGGGTGGTGCCTAGGGAGGTGGATCTGGGGGGAGAGGTGTACATTTTGTAACAATTAGCTGGAATAACACACCTTTTGAGGTACCTGTCCATCTGTAAGATTCTAAATCTTGAGACCCAGACATGAATTCAAATAACCAATCTTTACTTTATATTGACAGCCATATAACATCTCCTTAAGTATTAACTAAAGGCACTGTCTTGAGCTAACTTGCAAAATACTGTACTATACATAAAATTTCGACGAGGAGCCTGTCTAATATTACATTGGGCCATGATTGCTAGTTCTGTATCATGATTCATGAGCACCAACAAAATTCTGGCATGTTTTTCATCAAATAGTTTTTTCTGTTGTACTAACATATAGATTACACAATTTTATAGAATGTTATTTTAAAAAAGATGTCAAAACAAACCCAACTTCATGCTCAAAGTATAGAATCTAAAATTCAGTACATTTATGGTGGTTGCCTGCTCTCATAGAATGAGCTGAGGTCTGTAATCTTCTCATGGGTTACCCATTATGTTGTTCAGATAATGACACGGAAGAGAATATTCCAGAACCTCAGGGGATCGTGCCTCACATGGATATCAAAGTATGTCTTGGGACAAACTGTATATCATAAACTTGGATGATACAAACCATCTCTCCATAAAATATTTCTACAAAAGTAAATAAGAAACTGATAAACATGCAGACCATCACCCGTGTACCACCCATCCTGATTCCCATTTTCCGACTGACGTCATAGGCAGCTGGTAACCATGGCAACTAACCTCATGAATCCATCACTCTGTCCTATATGCTTTACATAAGAGGGTTTCCAACCATTAGTGTATTAGACTCAGGCTAATGATGCAAGGTCAGTAAAGTCTCATTACTGTAGTGTAGGGTCACTATTAGATGTCTTGTGAAGCCATTGCTTCATCTTAGGAATTCTGAACTGACATCACTATACAGTACTATAGGCAGAGTACCTTGTTCCAGATCAAATGAAAATGACAGAGGAAAAGAGTAAGACAATTTTGTCAGAACTGTCTCTATTCTGGACTTGAATATACGGTATAGAGACTGTATTCTTTAATGATGTCAGCTCTTATGATTGAAACACAAGATTCACACAGCCATCGTAGTTCATACAATACTAGCAATTTTTTGCATTCATTAAAAAAGTGACAAGATGACAATGTGTCATTGATGTGTCATATCAAGGTCACCCTTTTGCTTAAGTCCAGCCTGATAATGAAAATGTTGTTTGTGTCTCACTGATGTGTCCCAGTAGACCACTACCAGCTGAGACCCAGCTGAAATGGGCGTGCTGCATATTCCTGATTAAATTATAAAAGCCCACCACAGGAATACAGAAAATAATGGACTCTGATTTTGGTAACATGTCTAAAAAAATTACTTTTAATTGGGTAAACTGTTCAAATGATATAAAAAATATTATTACTTAAACATTCAATTTTGAGAATTTTAACTATATTTTTGCTGTGTCCTGCGCATTCACTCAACCCCTAGCCCTACCTGTATCATCAGTGAACTGTCCCCAATTGCATGTAATGTTAGAGGCTTGGAACTGCTACTTTTACTGCATTCTTGAACAGTTTGAAAATCAAAAGTCTAAAAAACAGGTTATTTCAATTGACTTATATGAATGAAAATTAATATGCACCTACAAAAATATGATATTTTGCAGCTGATATTGCGATAACTACTATTCCATGTTCGGTAAATTTGCAACTGTACGCCCAGTTAGGCATTGTGGGCGGGGCAACTCTTACTATAGAGGTCATGTAGGGAGATTTAACAATACAAATGGCCACGTCAATGACAACATAGTCAGAAAAGGTCACAAGGATCAGTTGGGGAACAAACCGATGCTGGAAATAATGAACACAATCACGTGGTCTTAGATGAAAAACAGGTGGCAGGTTACTGCCCTTCCGTTAGTTCATGCCCCCTCAGCTCATACCCACTGTGACTCACACCCACCCTCCGCCCCACCTTATTACCTTCGCCAAGAAGGTTATGTTTTCAGAGGCGTTCGTGTATGTGTGTGTGTGTGTGTGTGTGTGTGTGTGTGTGTCTGTAAACACGATAACTTGAGAAGGCCTTGATGGATTGTCTTGATACTTGGTAGGTGGGTAGGTCTTGATGAGACCTCAAAATGATTAGATTTTGGACCCCCTAGTGGCTTGTTATAGTACTGCAGCTGAACTTCCGGTTTTGATATCTCATGATCTAGACATGCTATGGTAATGAAATGTAGATGGTAGGTAGCTCTTGTGTTGGGGAAGAAGTGACATGAGTTTGGGCCCCCTAGCGGCTTGCTCTGGAACTGCAGGGATATATTCTTGAAAATATTCAAAAAGGGTATAACTCAAGAACCGGTTGACGGATTGTCATGATTTTTGGTATGTAGGTAGCTTACGTGATGCTTAATAAAATTATGTGACAATTATGCAAATATGGATGTAATTTGCATAATTTATGGAGAAATTCTATAAATCAGCTGCATTCCATGATAGGACAATTGAAGCTTGTGACATTGGTAATTGACAATGAGAGAAACACAGGCAGATATTGATTATGTTAATAATGACTTAATTTGCATAATTAATGAGAAAATTTTATAATTATGTAATAACTGCCTGGAATTTCATACTTGTGGTATTTGAAAGTTAAGTTGAGGTGAACATCATTAAACATAATTTATTCAAATCAGGACCTCATTTGCATAATTTATTAGGAAAAACTAGAATGCATTGTTTGTTAATATAAGACTGTCTTTTGGTTTAGATTATGATAAAATGATATAATTCATGAAAATTAGGTTCCTATTTGTTAAATCAGGGGGGAATAATCTAATGTATAATTTGTCAGTCATAAAGATTAACATCGCATTTGGCGAAGGTATGAGATCGGGGAACTCTAGTCTTATGTTTAGTACTTTCTGGAAAAGAATCAGAGTGGCAGCCTCTTGCAATCAGCAAACAAAACATTTTGACGTTAATTGCAAACAAAGGTCCCCAAGGAGTAAGACAGAATATTTAAATTATAGAGATGACTGGTCATCCAACGATGACACATTTCACACTGATCAAGGAGACTATAACGTCCTTGGACTGATCAAAGACAGCTGTCGCAAGCAGAATCCTACTGGCACTTCTAGTTTTCATAGTATACAAACCTAGCTTTGATAAATCATAATGTAATTTTGCAACAAACGTACTTGGGGTATAACGATGGCTTGATCTCGATGTCCAGCCGATACTGGACGTCTGCCTGTAGCTTGATGGTCCTCTCACTCGTCTTAAACCTGCCGCCGTCGATTTTGAAGAACACAGGCGACCCGTCGTCCTCCCGACGGATAGAGACGGTCACCTTGAATATGAAATCAGCACTGCCCATGTCCTTGTCTCGTAACGTTACTCCTCGGAGCCTCTGGAATATGTCTCGGTCATCTGCCGCCCAACGTCGCGCTTGGAATGTTCAAACCAGCCGTACCGCCTATCTCCATATCACATGTCTACAAACCCCACCATAATTCGGACCATACCTGTGTTATAAATGCGTTGCCCCGTGGCTAGAACACGAAAAGCGAAAGTGACCCGCATGTGATGTTCACTTCCGGATCACTGGGATGATGTCACATTTTGCGGCATCCTGACGTCACAAATTTCTTGTAAAGCGCGCGGCATGGGAGAGAGGAGACAGATGGAGCGAACTGTGGAGGAGGTCTGTCGGGAAGGGTTATAAGGCAGATATGGGAGATTTCTAGCGTGTTTGAATGGATTACCTGAAAGTATCACCTGAAAGAGTCAAAATTCTATAATCGTTGCATGAGATACATGATATTTGAATAACAAAGAAAAATACACATGAAATATTCATACTATATAAATAATTCCGTTTTCGCCAAGGAAGCAATATACCCGTGTTGTATACCACCATTCATCGATGTGTATGCATGTTGGTGATTGGTTTGAGACAATATCCCTTCGCTTACTGGTTATATCACAGCGGGAAGAGGTTAGAAACCATCATGACAGAGACAGTGCGCGAGTAGAAAGCATATTAGATAATTCTGCAGAACTAGACTGGGCGGGTACTACTACGGAAACGTTGCAAATTTTCCTTCTTAAAACACTGAGCTTTGTCCATGAGCTAACCTTAACTAAAGTAGACTCTTACTCTTAGTTATTTATTATTAGTGATCATTGATAGAGAAAATGTTGCAAGTTGCGCACGGGAATGCAGATGGTATTTTATTACGATTCATCGCCGGGTGTGGAAAGTACCAATGGGCCCGGTCAATATCTACGTACAGAAGGGTGGGGTTATATGTTGTCATGTGCACGGCTTCATAATATAATTATGAACGGATCCAAAACCAAGACCAATAACCAGAATTATGGTGATATGCCTCACGTGAGGTTTGCTTGGAGGTCTGACAAGCTATTGACGCAGGCTAGACGTCCAGGAAAATTCTTTGTGTGTCAGTTTGAGTTGTATTGATTTACGTATACTCTGAAGCAAATAGGCTTTTTTTACAGTCTGACACGTATTCAAGGTTAGAATGTCGCTTTTATATAAAGGTGAACGGGCTACTCGGATACACGTTTTTGGTGTGCACATATTGATTATCGATAGCCCCGGACACATGACAAAGGTCTGGGCAACGGTTAAAAGTCCAATGAATGAATGAAGACAGCCCAGGGTACATTTGCGACAGTTTGTAATAAATATCAGCACAGCAGTTTTGGAAACCATCACAAAACAGCAACTCTTATGATACACACAACAACTGGTTTATGTAATTATGTAAGGTAACACCAAAAGAAGACTGTGTCAACTCCCTTCTGACTCACTTAGATTAACAGCTCAACGGGATTTCTTTAAAGTATGATGTCACTTTAGGAACATGGAATAACAATCAGTCTGTTGACCTTGCGAATGTAAAACGAAATCGTTGTAGGATACAGTATGCTAGAGTGCTCACAACTCCAACACTTCGATCGACAACATCGCGATGAGAGCTCTGGAGGGCTCTTGACGTACACCATGGGTAGGAACCCTTTTATGTGCAGTCTTGGCGTTTTCACAACATTTCCAACTCAATCATACACTTGGTCACGCAATAGTGAAGCCTGGGAGTCAGAAAACATTGCATTACAGGGCCATGAAACTGTGAAATCATCCTGTGTGTTCCAAATGTTAACTCTCTTCATTGCGTGAGAATACGTGACCACATTACGTAAATCCTTAAATGGATCCAGTGCATGCAGTTTTGGTAACACAATATTCTGGGGTCTATAAAAGCGTATTCGGACAGGTTGCCAAATCTTACACACTTGATCTCTTGTTTCTAAGAAGAAACGGAGTAACATTACCACGAAGAAATGTTTGTTCCGAACCGATCATGCGTGAAGCAGCTGACGACGACGTTCTAGGCGTACCTTAGACACAATTTGTAAGAACGCAATTCAACATCAAAAAGATGACTGAAAATCGCTTGGGTTATGTTTACCCGAGTTTGTTTGTAAATAGGATATTTGAAAAGTTGTCAAAAGAATGTAATAACTTTCCCATGACTATAATAGAAAAGTCGATGAAGGTTTCATGAAAATCGATCCTACAGGTTGTATCAGTTGACAGTGTCTTGTATGTAGTTGTTCAGGTTGGAATCATGAGGTAGGTAGGTCCTTGGGAACACTTAGGCCCGTGTGAATGGTCAGCTTCCCCTGACCGACATAGAACAGCGGGTACGTCGGCTTCTCGAACTGTGCGTGAAACGCGTACAAAAATAACTTTCTCTCCCCAGAGTTCGCCGAGAAAAAGGCCAGGTAGCCCAAGTCATAGTCTTGGTGCACACCGATTTTCCTGATCCCGTCAATTCTACTCCTGTAGAAGGGTGAGAACACCAGGACCCGTTTGTGATAGTGCATGGCGGTGAACCTGTTCGGGTAGCCTAAACACAAGACCCAGGAGTTCTTGTCTTCGCCCGCGGCGGCAGGGGCTCCGTCTGCCGTCTTGTAACAGATACCGATACGGTAGTCCAGGCTCCTGTTCACGGAGACCTCCCAGTAGTGTTTGCCGGTCGTGATGGGCAGGTTGCCCATGACAGTGTGCAGGCCGCGCCGTGACCCCACGGGCTCGGGGATGTGCTCCCTGTACTCTACCTGTTTGCCACTGTTCAGAATTCGCAGCTTCTTGCTGGCCGTCTTTGGATCCAACTTGAAAGGAACCATCGGCTTTAACCTGAAACAAAGGACAAGATTGGGTCTTCTGTTGCTGTGGATCAGCCCAGGACAGTTGTCGTCTTTAGTTGCCATTCTGATGAATATATGAAATGGTCATAATAAGAAGTTTCTCACCTCGTCATGTGCTGATCTAGCGACAGTCCTCCGTTAGTGTTGGAGAAGTTAATCCTGTCGGCGACTCTCTGCTGCTCGGACAGGTCCAGCTTCAGGTGGTCAAACGATATCAGGTCGGCCGGATTCTGCCTCAGTCGGCTGCATCAAACATACGAGTGGTTTTCGATTATCATGGGACATGTTGGGGGTTGGGGGGTTGGGGCAATATGCATAATAACACTGGTTGCGAAATGTTCCCCGCTACTGGGTACAGAATTAGAAAGCATTGGACACGTTCGGCGATAGAGGAAATGTCACAGTTAGGAAAATAATCAGGTAAACTGCTGTTTTTTTACCTCTTGTCGAAGCATTTACTTCTAGACAACTTACCTTCTCAAGCCTGTTTCGATCGTTCCGACAACCTGCAAAAAAGGACATGGGGATTACATACCTGAGGTCAAGGGCTCAATGGTATTATTTAATGCGATTCTGATAAGAAACCAAAAGCATGGCAGACAAAAGGACAACTATTACATAATTTTATGTAACATAGAAATGGAACGGCCATATTGAGAACTAAAGCAATCCGGTTGAAGGAAGCATCACACACGCAAGGAAGACCGTGAAAGCCTGCCATGAATTCTCACCTCCAGAATTTCCACTGAGTCCTCCTTGCAGAGAGCCCGGTCTATGAGACCGACTTCCTGCCCACAGAGCGTCATCTGTTCCTGAATGTATTCCTCCTTGGCCTGCTTGTCCTTGTCCAGTCGACGAAATAACATCTGCTGCCGTCTGTCTATAGTCGACATCAGTCCCAGGATCTCTGACTCAATCCTCATCTTAGCTTCTCTGCATTTTTCCTAGATGGAATATTAATACAAAATCCAGCGTTTTGAATGACGATATAGGACGGGAGAGAAGACGAACTAATCCGCCATTGTTTGGCTGTGGATCGATAACCACCTGCTTAATCTGCATCCTCTCCAGCCTTTCGGCTCCTCATCAAAGACTATCAGACTGTTGAAGTAAGAAGGGGTCAAACAGTTCCGAGTGGCTAAAGCGCGGTCAAGCTGTGAAATGGAGGATCACGGTGTTTCGTCATGCAGCAATAATCGTTTCTGTTTTGCCCCCAAACACTTTTGAATAGTATAGATAATAGATTATCATAAGTCTAGAAAGCAAACTATCATGTGATAAAAGATCAATATAGATACGGGGAAATAATTTAACGTAAGTGGGCCCTGCCCCATAATTATACTATGCACTCCATGGCAACAAATATGATCAACATTATATCGTCTATGAATTGGATAACCAAAAAGAAAAAAGAAAACTCATCATTCTCAATGCACCACTTCTGTACTTTCTGTGCTTTTAAATGTTCCCCCCTTCCTCTTGCTGCCAGCAACAAGCTAACGTCTACTGCACTGTTTGCTCAACTGCTTATGCCAGACTCGCCGTTACCAATATTCAATCTCTTGTTCCTGACTTATGTAATGGGGAGGCACCAGTAACTACACCATGCACCGTTGAGTTTTCCATGAACGTAAGTCTTTAGCTTTTTCTGTGTGATTTTCTATCTGGAACCACTCAGTGAGTTCATACCGATGTGTTTCCGTATGTACAGATCAATCATACAAGGACATGTTTTACACACCTCCATCACCCCTAACTGCTGTGACGATTTCTCCACCATCTCACTCAGAACGTTCCGCCTGGTTAGGAGCCTTTCCTGGGTGCAGAAATAGGGCATGTGTAAATGTCTCAACTCTCTAGTACGTCCAGCTGCCTTCCTGTAGGATGTAACTCAACGCTTTCTTTTAACATTTCCAAGTGTGGGACCCTTACATATGACCTCCTTGAAAGATGGCGGCTGTTGTTACAAGGAGGCCAAAAAGACGAATTGCAACAATCGAGCTACACTTGCCATAATTAAAAAATCTTTGTCAATAAACTACAAAGTTTTGTGTCACTGATAAACATGACTATCTTTATTTTCTGTAAATTAAACAACGTTACCTTTTTCTTCTTGGCGGCCGTGCTGACAGGCTCTACGTTGTGATCCTTGTGCGCTGCCAGGGCACACTTGTAACACATACACTCCTTACACGTCTCGCAGTACAGAGCCAGCTCCAGGCTGTCCTCCTGGTGTCTGGCGCAGGTTTTCCGTACGGAGGGCAGCTTGACGTGTACCCCGTTCATGGGACGGCCCTTGTCCTCACGGTACCGCCGTACCCGCTGCTTCAGGCTGTCCATGTTGACGTCAATGGCGGGAAGAGTGACGCTCTTCTCCAGAACATCGCGAGGCAAGGACGTTAGCCGTTCGGCATCAGGTGAGCCATCTGATGGGTCTACTGTCTCAAACTCTTCCAGAACATCCTGGGAGGTGGAGAGGGCGACATGGGTGTCAGGTGTATGCGGTCTTCTCTCCTCCTCGGCGCGGTCCGACTGCTTCCGCGACGTTGACTTACTACGGCTTCTTCTCGATTCTTTCGACTTTGACGACATTTCTTAACACCACTTGGACAGGTACAGGAGCCAACAGTACACGGTCTCAACATGGTAGCCACGCTGTCATGGTTTTCGCGACAGCTCCTTCCTTCGGTACATGCGAGTATGCTGACAAATATTTGATCCTTGGTATCGAATTTCAAGTAGGTGACGCGGCCCGACAACAAAATGACTGTGTAGTTACCATAGTAAGAAGTGCCTGACAAGTACCCTGGAGGGTGTGTTGTCCTTGTTTCCGAAGTTGCATGAAATGCTCCCCTGCGCAGCGTAGCCCTGTTTTGGCGCTACCTGAACCGGTCCTGTCACGTAGCGATGTTTGGGCCAAACAAACGGACACTCGTTAGTCATCGAACGGACATCCGGCAGTAGGTCAGCGTCTAACAGGGGCCAAAATCCGTACGGGGAGACATTTTATGGATTGTAGCCAAGCGTCACTATCGGCCAAGAATATACCAATACGACTCCAGTGAACATCTCACTTCGATTTACATTTATTATTTCCTGAAGTTTGCTCCACACACTTGAACTAGAGTTCCACAATCTCATACCTTCGCCAAATGATGTTAATCTTTATGGCTGACAAATGATAGATTATTCCCCCTGCTTGTGCAAATAGGCTCTTCATTTTCATGAATTATATCAGTTTATCATATTCTCAACCAAAAGACAGTCTTATATGAACAATGCCATTCTAGCATTTCCTCATAAATTATGCAAATGAGGTCCTAATTTGAATACATTATGTTTAATGATGTTCACCTTCACTGTACTTTCAAAGACCAAAGTATAAAATTCCAGGCAGTTATCATTACAGAATTATAACATTTTCTCATTAATTATGCAAATTAAGTCTTCATTTACATAATCAATATCTGCCTGTGTTTATCTCGTTCTCAATTACCAATGTCACAAGCTTTATAGAATTTCTCCATAAATTATGCAAATTACATCCATATTTGGCATAATTGTCACATAATTATATTAAGCATCACGTAAGCTACCTGCATACCAAAAATCACGACGATCCGTCAACCGGCTCTTTTGAATATATTCAAACAGATAGCCCTGCAGTTCCAGAGCAAGCCGCTAGGGGGCCCAAACTCATGTCACTTCTTTCCCAGCACAAGAGCTACATACCATCAGAATTGCGTCACCCTAGCATGTCTAGATCATGAGATATCAAAACCGGAAGTTCAGCTGCAGTACCGTAACAAGCTGCTAGGGGGCCCAAAATCTAATCATTTTGAGGTCTCATTAAGACCTACCCACCTACCAATTATCAAGACAATCTATCAAGGCCTTCTCAAGTTATCGTGTTTACAGACAGACACACACACACACACACACACACACACACACACACACACACACACACTACACACTACGAC